AGAGTGCACTTTTTCCCGGCATCCAAGTCATTAATGAAGATCTTAATCTGTATTCGCCACAGTATCGACCCCTGAGGTACACCACTAGTTTCTGTCTCCCTACTGGACTTTGTGCCATGAATCACAACATGCTGGGCCTGGTAGTACAGCCAGTTTTCAGTCCACCTCAACTCTCATCTAACATATACTTAGCCAACTTATCTATGAGTATGTTGTTGGAGACAATGTTAAACACCTTACTGAACTCAAAGTAAACAGTATTCACTGAATTCCCCCCTCCCTCCACCCACCAAGCTGGTCAGCTTGTTGTAGAATGCTATCAGGTTGACTGAGCATGATTTCCTGTATTTGGAAATGGACTCCAGGTTTAGTTGCTCAATCATCTTTCCAGGGACTGAGGTGAGAATAATCAGCCTGCAGTTCCCTAATCCTCCTTCTTTTCCTTTCTGAAGATAGGCATGATGTTTGCTTTCTTCCAGTTCTCAGGAATCTCTCCCATCTGCCAGCCCTGTCAGCAATCACAGAAACATTTTGTGAGACCCAATAGATTCATCTACACATAGTTTGTTAAAGCACTCACTAACCTTGTCCTTCTCTGATGTCAGTGAGTTTTCTTCGCTCCAGACTTTAATCTCAGGGGTCTGGGATTACTGAAGGCTGGTCTTGCTAGTAAAGACTGTAGTAAAGAAGGCATTGACTATCTCAGCATTTTATGAGTCATCCGTCACAAAGTCCCCTGCCTCATTCAGCAGCAGGCCCATGTTTTCCTTAGTCTTCTTTTTACTGTTTGTGTACTGGTAGATCCTTTCTTGTTGCCCTTCACATCACTTAAATTCAATTCCAGGTTAGCCTTAACTTTTCTAACCCTATCCCCGTAAGATCAAAAAAGCATCTTTACATTGCTAGGTCCTTTGAATGTCTGGTTTCACATATGAGCTCCTTGCTCATTCATGAAGATTTGCTGACATTTGCTTTTTTTTTTTTTTTTTACCCTCCATTGCTTTCCTGTCATTCATAAAGAAGGCTGGAACAGGCCAAGTCATAGTGACACAAGGAGAGACCAAAAAATTACACTTTTTGCAATGGTTGCACAAGAATATGAATTTTAAGAATGCCAGGGATACTTGAGCATTAATTCTCTACGCTTTACTCATGGGTAGAAGATGGGCCCCAAAAGTACAGTAGAGGTCTTCATACATGCATTTTGCAGCATATTACAAAAGGCAATGGGTTCTTCTGTCAGAACAATGGGCTATACTGACTCAGATTGACAAAGATGATTTGTCATGGAGTAATGGCACTCAAGCTTTTTTATAAATGGGTCACTGTTCCCTTTATCCCACCCACTCGAAGCACACTGAAATCACTTCCTGTAAATGCTAAAAATTACAAAGTATCATTGCTGCAAAAAAAAAGAGATAATTTATGCTATTTCGTAGGCCTTTTTGTGGAGTCTATTACCAAGGCCATGAGTGAGTAAATAATGTTAGAGGGAAGTTACTCATAGTCTATTGATCTTTTAGGTTCTAAATGAAGAAAAAAATAAGCTGAGACAATTTGCTTTGCTGAACTGTGTGATGAGTAAGGATCAGTTCTACACCACTGATGAAATAATAGAAAGGGGAATAAAAAAACATGAAGGAAGCTGATGAGAGTCAGTAAGGGTGTTGGTGGTTGCAGTTGGCAAGTGAAACCACGTCTGAGAGCTGCTGCAGGGGTGGAGGAACTGGCAGAGGGCCAAAAGCTGTTTGTGTGGTTTGATCCAAAGTGCAAAATGAAGTCAAAAGGGCTTCTTCTGATTTACTTCCTTTACTTGCAATGTCCTCATCCTCAGGGTATCTTGTTAAGAGTTTTCTCTACTGGCAGTCAAAATCACAAGCCTTGGCTGCTAATTTTCAACTCACTCATTGCTTTCCCTGCTCCTGTATGAGTTTGCAAAATTAGGATGGATTTTGTTTTCTCAGGACAAATGCACTAGTGCTCTACTCTGTGTGAAACCTGAAGAGGAGGCACACTGTGTCAATGCACCATCCTTGTCCTTGTGGGAGCAGTGACCTTGAGGATGTGGGCAAGTTAATCAGTTATACTCCTGCTGGTAGGCAGAAAAAGATCTGGGGGAGAACAGATCCTGTGGATTGCACATGGCTTTTCAGTTCATGAACTGGGATCTTCTATATTTGAAAAAATCAAACCAGAGCTGGCTTCCAGAAAGCAGAACCTGAGGCAGGTGCTTGGGCCAGTGTCTGCCTTTACGGAGGGGAGGTGCCAGACTGATGTAGCAACAAAAATAGCTCAGCAGTGCATTAGCTTTATGCAAGCAGTTTGACACAGTCATCATTGTTTTCTATTCCTCAGGTCCTCAGCCCTACGTTTGGTTTCAAAAAGGAGTAAAAGGAGTAATTTTGTTTTATTCCAAGAGACCCTCAGTATCTCAGGATGCAGAGTCTGGTAGTACAGACAATTACTTGAGGTACAAAAATACCTGATAGGAGGAAACGGTCAATGAAAATGTGCTGTCGTCACTTGAGAATTAGACCTGGTTTTAGATGTAGTGTGTCAAAATCAGAATAATTGTAAGCCAGAAGATTTGTTTAGATACTTTTTCTTTGCATGTTTTCTCCTCATATCCCTTTCCCCCAAAGAATGATCTGTCTTAAGAGGTCTGTGGTCCAGTGTGTTTTACCTGTATAGAAAGCAGACAAATTATCAAAAGCAGAAAGCAGACAAATTAACTCCATCATGCTCAAGATGCACATTCTAGAAGGAAAATGTGTTTTTAACTCAAATGGGGACATGTGGATGTTGCCATGTCCTGGGCATCCAGAGAATTTTGGACCTCCGCCTCCATTTGTTTATGTCATTGGCTTCTGCAATGCTGACTGTGGAAACCGTGAGTGATTTCAGCTTTCCATTAACTATGATGTACGACCTAGTTTAGTATTTCAGTTCTGTGTTGCTTATTATTTTAGTTCTAGGAATTAATGCCTCCCTGGAGGAATCTGATCAAAGCAGGGGCTAGACGGTTAACAGAGTACTGTTTGTGTGTCAGACAGTCGTGCTGGGGTTTCCAAGAGACACTGAGATTTGAATAGGTCTTCCTGGGACATGCAACGGATAAGCCAGTGAGAGCAGACAACCCAAGAAAAGTGTGTAACCAGACCAAAACTGATTTCACATTACTTAACTAGAGACTTTGATGATGCAGCAGAACTGATAAGGGACTCATCTGACAAACAGCAGTGTTAAATTAAAAAGGAGAGTGCATACATTGGGGAAGGTCCTGAGAGGAATAAAAAGCCTAAACAGAAATCGTGGCAGCACTTCCAGGTGTATTCATAGTCATGATCCAGCTCCCTGCCTAGTACTGTATGTGGCAGACAAATTTCCACTCTTCCTGAGAAACTGGAGCCAAAGTAGCCTAGAGGACTCCAGAAGGTGGTATGGGGTATTTGCCCAGTCCATTTTTCATGCAACATGACTGAGTCATTCATCTGCCCAAGCATGCCCCTGTGTGAGAAGATTTCCATACTTTTTCTGATGCAAGCACAGAAAAGACTTGAGACCAGGAAATGGGTAGGAATTGAGGTTTACCATTTATAATTTTATGTCTTTCATGGAGCAGCTTTTTTTTTGTATGATGCTTAACAAAGGAAGAGTTTGAATTTGAATGGAATCGGTGTACTTGCCTGTTCCACATGTCTCTAGAACAGCCAACTGTAAACCTTTACCAAAGCATGACGAGAGCAGCCAGCAAGCCCAGAGAAGAGAGCACTTTGTCACTCAAACCTGCCTTTCTGAGCTCTTGCTGGACAGGGGCAGGAGGCTACAACCACACTGACTTGTCATTTCAGATTAGGAAGATCATTGTGAAATGAATCTCATAATTGTCCCCATGATTTTGTTCATACTGTAGAGCACTGGGTTTCTCTTGGGTCAGCCTAGTCAAGAAGATGTGCTCCAAGGGGGCATCCAGCAGACTCTGACTGCTAACAGGAGTTCAACCCATGGGACTGGACCAGTGCCAGTTTAGGGAAGACTCCCAGCTGTCCCCATGTACACTGTGAGACTCCTGAGTCCTCAGCACCAACTACTTCACCCTACTGCTTCAATGCTCTTGCGTGCTGCAGTACTAAGTGGAAGTAGCCTAATGCCAGTTTGCTGCAGACCTACAGATAACAGTTCTCTTTAGACACGATAACTGTGATTATTTTAGGGATTTGTGTTTTGTTATTTCTGAAATATATTTCATCTGAGAAAAAACATTGTCCTATTTCCCAGTTTCTATGTAAAATTTTAGATATATGGATATATAAGGTGTAGGTGTAGTCTATATATATCTACTGTTAGGCATATGGATACATTTGGAAGCCATAGCAGCTTTTTTGTGACAAGGTAACACAGGAGGAAATTCATCCTAGTGTTACTACTTGCATAATAACCTCCATACCCCTAGCAGCTCAGGTCTGTCTGTTACAAAAAAAGGCCCATGACTTCTGCCTCTGATTTGGGGACAGAAGCGGCTTAAGCCAGCTGAGGTGCACCAGGAAGTATAAACATCTGTTAGCAGGAACAGCTCCTGATTTGTGACTGAGGAAGCAGGCGGTTTGTACCCCTCTTAGTCTCAGGTCACTGGGTGCTTTGAGGTCAGAGTCTTCATCCATGATATGATGTGGTCACTGCTCTGCACAGCTACCTGGTCCTTATTTCGATCAGGACTGTGATTGCCTCTGTTTGATACAGCTTTGAAAAGATAAAGTGCTGACAAGAAAGACACTCATATTCTGAGAAATCAATTTTAATTTTTTTGACATAATATGAAGAAGGTGTACATTCTGAAGTCCTGCATTCCTGATTTGTTTATAGCTAGAGTCATGTAAACTTTTTATTTCCTGTAGTCATTTCCTCCAGTTCCCTCCAGTCTCTGGTATAAAGTGATCAAATAGTAAAGTCCAGAGATTGTGATTACTCATCTCTTCACAGTCTATTGTGTCATTTCAACCATGAGACTCAGCTTTCAAACATATTCAGTGATCTTCACAGTCGGCAACCTGGTGGCCTCTCAGTCACAATTTTCTGGTAAGTTCAAATACCCAGATATTTATTTAAGAAATTGATATATTAGCTGGGAGTATTTCTGTGCGAACTTTACCTCCTGTGTCACGATACTGGGCGCTTGTTTCTGTGAAAACAATCAACCAAACAAAAGTTGATATCCAGCAGAGATGAAAGTGGATTCTTAGAAAAAGTGTAATAATGATGATGATAATAGCAGGTTTCTACAGAAGTTTTCTAACTAAAAATCAAGGCAGAAATTGCTAAGCTTGTGTCTGTTTTTTAAGCAGGACTACTTACTGTCTATGGCATAGGTTATAACAGAGTAGACTACATCCAGAAAAGAATAGCCTTCCAATGAATACAGATGGATAAAACAAGTTCCAGGTAAGACTTCAGTGCTTAGTATTTTGGAAGGATGAACACGATGAGGAAATATCCAGCAATACCTTGCACCTGCAAAAGCATCAAGATAAAAATATTATTAAACAGAAAAATTAATAATGACATTAAAGACTGGTTATCTGATGACCTAAATGCAAACTGTCATGATAGCTAGCAGTGGTAGGTGATTTGAAAAAAAAATAGCCCAACAAAGCATCCACTCTGTTTGATGTGTTATAAGAATTATGCTACAAAGATTGTGCCTTGTCTCAGACTGTCTATAAAATCTCTCTCTTGCTATCTTTTTCCTTTTCTTGAAAAAAGTTCTGTTCTGCCTTGTGACTTCAGTTCACCAGTCTTGTGTGTATGGAGCTACACTTTTGCCTACATATGTTCCTCTTAATGAAGTTAAATTGTTCTCATGGATCAGTAGCATTAAGGGTAACTAAAGACTGCAGCCTCAGATCTGGGTCTTGTTCTCCATTAGTTTCTGTACAGTGTGCTGCAATATGTGGAAGTTCAATATGTGGTTACTTATCAGGTTTCATCAGTGTAAGGAAATCAAAGGTGGTTTTTCTACTTTGCAATGTTTCAGTGAGATTGCAACTGTTCCAGTACACGCATGTTCCATTCTGTTATCTTTGCAGATTAACATTCTGTCTCTCCTCTTTCTTTTTTCTTTTTTTTTTAATTTGTTCCGTGACATTCAGCATTTTTACAATGTTCCCCTTCAATAGTATTTTTTCTCAGTAATAAACTTAGAAAAATGGCTTGAAGGTGGAATGTATTTGTTCATATTCTTGCTCATGGTTGTGTCTGCATAATTTGTTGCTCAAGGAACTTTCTTTGTATTTTCCCCTGTAAAAGTACTTTCCCCACACATTGTAGTGGTATTTTCCATGCTTCTCTGTCCTGAGAAGAGCTAGGTTCCCAGCAGTGCCTTTGAAGCTAAAGTCTTGTGTGGAGCCCTACCAGTTCTCATCTGGTTTTATTGAAGATCTGGGCTTGGAAAATTCTCTCTGAAGCTCGTGTTCCAGGACACTGGTGTGTGCCCTACAGCACGCCAACACACCTTGCACCTACCTAGACCAGCAGGCAAACTTCAGGCATGAAGTTGCTGCCACCCCTCTTTGTCCCAGGGACTGATTGTTATGTTTGACCTTTGCATCCACCCATTATCGTAATGCAAAGAATGATGATAAATGGTTTACTTTGGTATATTGCATGACTCTATGATCAATAATAGAAAAATGTTTTAAATAATTACAATTACTGTGTAAGAGCTGACACATTTATGAGAACAATCTGTGGTATTACAGGAGGATTCATAAAAATTCTATCATAAAGAAATGAAGATAAATGATCCCCTCTATTCTTTCTCTCTCTCTCTTTCCATTAACAAAATATATGAATGGTTCTGTCTCCAGGTATGTAGATGTTTAAAAAAAATAAAAAAAAGATAAACCAAGCTTTCCAGCTAAAGGCAAAGGAAGAATGACTGGAAATAAATGCTCTGTTTCAGATAACCTGTGCTATCATCAGAAGATTTAATGTCAGTTTAATGCAAACTTCAAAATCTGTCCTATGCTATGCGTCTTTTCATGTTGACATGTGAATTATGCAGCATATACATGCTATAATTTGAAAAGATCACACAAATATTTACTGAACACACAAACTACTACTCATACTACACTCAAAAGGGCTACAAAACCCATGAAATCAGAAAGCACAATAGAAAATTTCTCTGACTAGATCTCTAGAAACACAGTCTTTAATAATAAAAGATTGGCAAAGCCTGTTCTGACCTTAACTGTGTTAATACTGATTTCTCATGAAGTTCTTAAAAACTAGAACACAGGGAAGAGTAACTATGTAACACCAGGTAGTTTATTGCAGTTACTGCTTTATTTATATTAAAAGATTCTGTTTATTGTTGAAACATTTAATAACACATTACGTTCCTTTTTAGCACACAAATAACTGCAATTGCTGGAGTTCGTACTTAAATGTTTAAATCAAGCAGTTTCAATTAATAATATGTAGGAGCTTTGCAGAAATAGGTTCTGATTCTAGAAAGATCTATACATTTCGTTAAGTTGGTGTGCCCTGAGTAATCCTTCTGAAGTCAGGTGGACTACCCAGAGTATTCAAAGTGCTGATAAATCATTGCAAGACTGGAGCCAAACTGATGCTCTTCTCTGCCATCCGAAGTAATACATATCACCAAACCCAAGATTTAGCATGCGTCTCTGGATTGCAGCCTCTAATAATGTGTATACAGCTATCATAATATAACTGAAAAATAGAGAATAGTAAGTGTTGTCAGAGGTTCAGAATGAATTGGTGGCTTCTGTTGCCTTCCAACAGGAAGGTCAGATTGGACCCTCAGGTTTTACTTAGTGTCCATTCCTTAGTGTGCGGAAATCCTGTGTTATCCCTCTTGTTTCCTTCTCATCTCTCACTAGAGCCAACCATGCCCCTATTAACTCACTGAGAGTTTGAAGAGATCAGACATCCCATTAAAGGAACTTTATAGGATTCAGGGTTTTGGTGCTGGTATTTTTTCTACATTGAAATTAAGGGAAAATGCGGCACCCTGAGAAAGAATTTCAAAAGTTAGTCTGCACAGAAAGTGAAGAGTGGATAATCACTCTTTACTTTTATTTCCCTGCTGGCAGTGTCAGGGTAATGGGGTACATGGTCAGAGGTTCAAGGAGCTTCCCAAGCACATATCACCTGCTTGAGAGACAAAATCAACCTAAATATTGGCACCATACCTTTTCTTAGGTGTATACAAAGAAATTACATGAGTAAATTCTATGTACTGTCTCTCATAATTAATTAATCAGTACTCTTTGTGGTTATTCTATCAATTTCCTTATAAAGATAATTTTAAATTAAAAAAAAAGATATTTGTACTTCTCAGTAAGAGAAAATTCAGTCAGAAAGACTAAGCAGTACAATACTGTTTTGTCACTCCGAACTTGAAGGGATGAAGCTCGGCATTGTAGTATTTTCCTCTTGGAGGTTTTTAATACAAGCTTTTCCTCTCCATTAATTTATTTTTAATGGTATTGCCTATTTAAGTTATAGATTTCGTTTTTAACCTTCCTCCCTTTTTTCTGTACCATTGTTCATGGCAAATTCTACAAGATCCCCAAGAACCTTTACTCGTCACTTGACATCTGCAAGCACTGACTTTTCACCCGTTAAAGTTACCTCACTGGTAAAGTTCTCTTCAAACTTCAGATGCTAACGGCTCTGTGGAACTGAGCAACGTGGGGCCCCCCAGGCACCCAAGTCCAGGTGAAGGTTTTGAGCTGGAACCTTTCATCTCCTAAGCATCCCAGCACAGCCTAGATTATTTGGCTATGACCAACATGAGATACCCACTTTTCGCTATGTCCTGCTGGTGAGACTGCATGCCTCTCTGCTTGTTCAACTGCAGGAAGATGTGCATGCTCAGCTCTCTGCAATGATGTTAAGCCACCTTCTGATATTAAACTGAAGAATTTTGTTCTTATTGTACTTAAAAATGGATTCAAAAACATGCCCTAGAAACAGCATTTTGCCATCTGTCATGGTGCCATACTATTGTACACATAGAAACAGCATCATAAATTAATTTTGAAATTAATTATGCTTGAAAATATGTGATTAAGAGAGCAAGTACTCCTCCTGGTATTATTTTCATAATTAAAGAATGGACATTAACTATTCTTTCTCAAAAGGAAAATATCTGCAATAAGACTAGTTATCAAAAAGTGGAAAAGTACGTATTTTGTTGCTTCTAAAGGAATATAAAGATTTCATTCTATGCTCATAAAAATGATCTCAGGACAGTACAGTGTTCTCCATTCACTAATATTTTTCTTTTTTATAAAGTTAATTTTATTTAAAGATGGAGAACATGCAACTATACACTCAAATATACATTAAATATATGTTTAACTATCTTTATAGAACATCTAAGATGAAGCAGTCATATGGATTTCAGTTACACTGAGCGTAACACCATATACTGCACAGCACAACCATGGTACAATTTAGTCCATGAAAATAAAAATGCATTAATGAAATTGCAGACCAAGAATCCGTGGTTGGGCCCTTCGCCAACACATTTTTAGTGGCTTTAGTTGAAAATAAGACCATCTCTTAGATCTGCTGAGCGGAAGGACTTGCAGAATTAAGGAAACAAGGGCTAGGTAGTCTCTTGTAACAGAAGTAGAACTGACTGGATAAGATTTATGATACATTTTGAGGTTTTGAAGTTCAGTTTTTGCTTCAGAGTGTAAGAATACTGACTTCTCTATTCCTCAGGAAAACACATGTGATTTTAAGTTTGGCAAAAAAAATCGAGAACAAGCCTGCAGGCATTAGTTAGGAGATGGACGAGTGAGTTTCAAGCCCTCTTGAGTAAGAACTGAATATTTCTTACCAGAGCTCCCACATATCAGGGACCTGCAGCTACGTCTACCCAGTGTCTCTTGGATTTGTCATAACTATCTCTTTGATGATAATGACAAAACAAAATGTTACAACACAATTACACCTGTGCAAAAATGTTTTGAGTAACTCTAATTACCGAAGTCATGAAACATCTGGACATGCATATATAGCCTTGAAAATAGGCAAAATGATTACTTGAACCTGCTTGCCTTTCTTGCATTCTTCATGTTGACTGTAGACCAAAAGACAGCAACCACAAAGATTCCCCCGAACATTCAGAATCATGGTATGTGATAAAAATCTTGTAAGAAATGTTGTAAGATTTTTCCACTTTAAACCCGTTGAAAAGTCCAGAGTGGCATAAAACATAGACAGCAATTAAAGCTAAACTACTCTATTCTCCTGATAGGCAGGAATATTCCAGCAAAACATTTTAGTTGCAGACACTTTATATCTGGAGACAGTAGTCTGCAAATTTTAAACTCATGTGATTTCTTGCTGATAATCAAGACACATTTTCTTCCTTTTTATTCATTCTAGTAAGTCAAATTTCACATTTTATAGAATGCAAAATAAATAATTCTTCCTTTTCCTTGATATAGAATAGTTCTCTAATCCTTTTGCCTTCTTGATTTCTCCATTTTCAATGTCAGTTTTATTTTTGGTATCTGACTGTGGAATCCTGATAGACACAGATTTTAAATACCCGTGTCCCTCGCAAGTCCTGCAACAAGGAAAAGGTCCGGAGTGGAAATAATATCTGTGTGCAGTCAGAGGACTTGTTTGTAAGGTGGAATTGGCCAGAACCACATGGAGCAAATCTGCTTGTGATAATTTGTTCTGGATTCTCTATGAGTCTTGACATGTGGTGTTAGTCCCTTGCTTCTTACAGAAAATATTTGACAGTTTATACACAGGTTCCATGTGACATTAGTTCCCAAACAGCAGGAAAATCTTAGCAGGTATTATGGGTGAAAGTCAGCCTCAAGTTATAGGCTCTATGCATTGCATACATGTGAAAAAGTCTATAACTTTTGGCCAAGGGACCATGCGGTGCTCTCTGGTGTTGCTGTGCATGCTCTCATTTTACTGTTTTAAAATTCTAATTTTAATGTCTCTAAGTTATTTTACTCTGTTTCCTTGAACTTTAGATATTCTTATATATTCTTATTTTACAATCATCTGAGCCTATTATATACATATCTTTGAAATACTGGTTGCTTATCAACATAAAGAAATGCTTTTCATACTCACTGCTAAAATCATCTTCTCTGTCAATGTCCTGGGCAGGTTGGGAATATGCCATCAACACCACAGTAATAAATTTCAATAATGAGAATATGCAGATAACATGGGCAGCAAGAGGACTATTTCCTGATGAGAATTTGTCATTTTCTTATACGTGAGTATCTTCTCCTCTTCTTAAAGGATTTATTTTGGGAGGCTGAAATATCTAAGTCCATTTGAGTCTTCTGTGAACTGTACCTGAAAATGCTTTTAACATTTGTTAATCATCCAACATGAAACTTGTTTATATTCACAAACTGCTATTCAGTGTACAAATCAATAAGCCTACTTAGTAGTGAGTCATGACAGACATTATTTGAAATATTTGTCTCTCTTCTGCTGTTGTGCCAAATGTTAATGCAAGTTACATTACTGAAAGTGCTTTTTCTGCATATGTGTGTATATCTTTCTTTTTCATTGATGTCATTAGTGACTAAAAGAAATTTAATGTTCTAGTTAAAGACAGTCATAGCACTTGACCTTCTATTTTCTTTCTGGACAGTATATGAGAGAGATCTTTTGGTAGTACAATCTTGGAAACAGGTTCATGGAAACATCTGTTTGAGCAAATCATTCTGTTGTTAAAAACCAGCAAAACAACATGAAAGAAAGTTGATCATTTCAGACTGCATCAGAACCCAGGGCTGTAAAGTCAGTGAGGTTTGGGTAATGAATTTCTTCACTCCACTACGTAGTTTACTGCTTCAAGAAATTCCATATCCTTTGATAGAAACATTTGAAAAAGAAAAAAAAAACAGTACGAAAAGGAATTAACTTGTGTTGACTGTTAAGAGTGTTCCTTTTACTAATATTATTTCATTTATAGATTTGATGAAGGCAAGCATAAAGTTTGGAAGTCATGTCCCACTTATTTATTGGATCAAGATTATAATTCTGGATGTCTTTTCAAGACAGAAGGACCCACTCTTGCCATCTCCATCAGAAACAGCAATGGAAGTGAAGATCTTTTTTCTAAAAAATTAAAATCTGATTTTTATAGTAAGTCTGTAAAATCACAACTGCTTTGGTAGTCCTAGTGCCTTTGTTGATTGTTTAGCTGTTCTTAGTTTGAGAAGAGATCAGTAATGTTAGTGTATACAATGCTTTTAGTGTGTGTGCCAAAATGAAACTGTAGTTATCTCATGCTGTCATTGGTAGTTACACAGGCCAGTGTGCAGCTGCAGCTAAATGAGATTACATGGGACTGTCAGCTTTGTACCAAGACACAGTTTCAAATCAGAATGAAAATAATGAAATACATGTGTGTGATTAGTCTAGCACAGACTTGCTCAGTATTCATAGCAGGATAATTAATAAAAGTTGATACTTTCTTATCTTAGTGACTGCTGTGTGATCTTTCTTGTATGTCAACCTCCCATTCTTATGCTGTCTTCCATAGGATACAAGGCAGCAAACTACTTCTTATGAAAAAGTCTGTCATAAAACCATCATCAGAAATCAATAAAAATTACTTGATTGGCTGTGGTACAGTCCGACAGCGTAAAAGAGACATTCTCCTACTAGTATAGAGACAATGTTCCTGTTTTTACTAAATCCCTCCTGCTCCCAAATACAAATTTCACATCTAGTGTGAGATTATGCTGTGAAAATCTTCCAGAATTTCACATAGTTACAGAATTTAAAGCAGAAGGAATTTTTTTTCTGATAAAAATCTTTCTGAAAATATACAGTGCAGAATCGTCTGAGAAATATGGATATTCCAAAAGCATTATTAGCATTTGTTAATAATATTTTAGCAAGAGGGATTAAACGAAAACCTGCCAAGGCATCTAACTCTGAGAATTGTTTTAGATACCATAATTTAACTAAAATCTAGTAAATTACGGAAAAATGCAGCCTGGTTCTCTAATTTTGCGTATTAAACCCCCACTGACAGTAAAATGAATTTTGACATAGTTAGGTAACAAAGGACAAATATAAAGGATCAGACTTAAGTCTTTAAATTAGAAAGGCGAAGTTTTCATAGTACAAAAAGGCAACTAGTAGGATTGAGAAATCAGGTAACATGCTTCTCACCCTTTTATTTCCCGCTACTGAACACTAACCAACTACAAAGGTCAAAATATTGCATGCTCTTCAGACTATGTGAAAACAGTGAGGGGTAGATTCAGTTGTGCACAGGCAGGCTCCTGGTGTATTTTGCAGATGTCCCACCATATGCCATAACCTCCAGCAGCTGCACAAGTTCATCTTGTAGTTTTTATGGTACTGAATTTATCTGTCTCTTTCCAATGTAGAAGCCTCTTCCTTTCTGCTGATTGCAGGGAGTATGAGGAGACTAGAAACATTCCCTGATTACTTGCAATAGGTCCCTGACATAAGATAGTATCTACCTTTGAGTGTGACACCTCGGATGGTGAGAGTGTCATAGTGTCAAGCTCCAATTTGAAGTTTAATAGGGAGGTCAGCTACAAAAATGTTTCTTCAGAGAAAGTCCACCTTCTTCACTTACTACTGAGAGAAATGTTGAGACAAGGAAGGAGTGACAATAATTTTAACTGCAAAGTACTTCTTTTTAAGAAACTATAGCATAATTTGTTTCTCTTCTTCTTAGTAAAGCCCAATCGACCAGAAAACGTGACTTTCTTCTGGAAAGAGGACACTGTTACTGTAAGTTGCAATAAACCAGAGCGAGCTGTGAGGTGCTTGAGACTCGAGCTTCAGTACAAAAGCAAGTTTGACAAAGAGTGGCAAGTAAGTTGGACATAACATTTTTAATCAACATTGGGAGGAACTCGAAGTAGTGTCTCCATTGAATGTAAAACAGTGTTGTTTTCAAATTATTCTCCCACCTATATTTTGAAATATAACTTGTATCAGAAAAGAGAATTTTAGGATCCTGGATCCCTTACATGTCAGAAATCATTTAGTGTTTGAGTTACATCTTGTTGCCACCCAAAGACCTGAACACAATCTAAGGGAAAGGTCATAAATTAAGAATAGAAAAGTTTTGGAAGATAACAGCAGAGAGTAGAGAAAAGGGGAGAAAAAAAATAATTAAATAGAATGAAAGAGAAAACCTAACACAATATTTTTATTTATTTTAAAGTTAGTTTTTAAGTATTTGTAAATATTATTTCATTAACTTAAACCTTTCCAGTCTCAAATATAATGTAAATATTTGGTAGATCAAAGTGTCTTTACGTGTTGTAAACACTCAACTGTAGTATAGAGCACTGTATAATGATTGTTATGACCTTAATACCAGACAATGAGCAATGGATACAAATAGTGAAGAGTCAGGCAAGAAACAAAATTCCTCGAAACTCACAGAAGTTAAAACTCAGGGTTTAGGTTGATCCATCCATTTTCCTACTTATAACTGAGGTGATGTCATGACTGAGTGTAACATTTTGAAGCAGTGTCTTAAAAATCAGAATTAACGATGATATATGCCTTCCTTCTCAGTCCAGAATTTCTAAGTGTTGCAGTGTTGGAGAGCAAGGGTTTGATCCAAGGAAATGTTATTCTTTCCGGGTCAGACTGAAGAGGCTAGTACCCCAATGCAACGTAGTTAATTACAGCAGTGACTGGGAAGCAGAAACATTTTGGATGAATGGCACATTATTAGGTAAGAGTGGTGCTACATTCGTATATTGTCTAAGTTCAAATGGAGAAGTGATGGCTGCAAAAGAGGCTGGAAACATGCAGCAAACTAATGTTGCACTGTTGCTCTCCACCTTCTCTTGTCAAGGAACATTCATGTGGATGTCTAACTGCCTATATTTAATTGCTGTCCACTTTGTTACTGACGGCTCATAACCTGTTGTTTTATGCCATAATCAGCAAAGTTAAGAGTGTCCTCATTATTTAATTTACAATAGCGTCTAGGGTCCACCAATGACAGTGATGGGAACCATGGTGGCACAAGGTGAGGTGTGGGAAGGAAGCTGACCACATATGATATGTGGACATCAAACATGAATCCTAAGAAAACTTTTGGTGTCCCATTTTTGAAGGTAGTTTTTATTTTGAAAGTACATTGAGTTGAACTATGGGACCAAAGGTCAGAGTGGTCTGATGCTTATACATACTGGATTCATTAAAACAGAGAGGATGGGGGAAAAGTGACTAAATGGAATTAAAGCCAGTATCAGCCCGACTTTCCCACCAGACAAACGCATTTAACTGAATGTTCTTTACTTCAGTTAAATATTGGATGGAAACAGTATTTCTACTCATTACCAAAACCAAAATCCAGATTTTCTATAGTAAACACTATAAATTATGTCAACACATCTGTATCATCAGCTAAGTACAAAATGCCACCCACTAGGGTTTTTCAGAGCTATAAGACACCCAGTTGTCCAATGTACCCAGATCTAAGTTCTCTACCGGGTCCTGTACCGGCTAAATTTAGATAAATAACAGCACAATTTTCCTTTGTTGCAAGGTTTAGGGAAGAATGGGTTTTCTTTTCAGTTACAGTTGAACAACTGAACTTGTCTCATTTATTCTTAAAAACTTTTCTGTCTGTTTGTGTGTTTTTTTTAAAGAAAAGTCTATATTCTAGCATGATTAGGTTTATTTGTTGTTAAAGCAAAAAATAATTTTCGCAATTTTTTTTTGTGATTATTCCTAGATTCATGTGATGATGATATAAAATCTCAGTCAAACACAGTATTTGTTTTAAGTTGTTCACTGGCAGTACTTCTAATGATGCTTATCCTCTTGATTCTTCTATGTAAATGTCAGAGGTAAATACAATTTTGCAGGTTACAGTTAAATAACCTTGTCATGCAAGTAAAGCTATTCAGAATCAAATCTTCAAGCTTACATTTGTGTGCATCACGTCAGCTAATGCGGCTGGTTGCTACACCATCTTCCCTGTCCAGGGGGATGTGGCCAAGCAATATAAAGTTCTTACTACTACATGAAGCAGATTGACACTTGCTTACTAGCTGGAAGTTTGTACAGAACCTAAATTTTGCTAGGATGGGGTTGGTCGAAAATCCAGCTGAAAAATCACTCTTAACTTGATGCATTATCATACTGTTATAGCTGCTTTTTTTTTATTTTAGAACACATTTAAAAGAAATCGAGCTTAGAATACTGTCATGTAAAATATATTTGTTGGTACAGAACTGTGTTGTAGTAAATTTTGGTATGAATGACTATGTTACAACAAAACATTGATTTGTATTTTTCTTTCCTCTTTGCAGGCTTCGGAAGTCAGTCATACCTGCTGTACCAGATCCAAAATATGTATTTGCTGATCTCTTCAGTGATCATAACGGAAACTTCCAGGTAAACATTTTGTCCCTAGCAAGGCTGTAAACTCTACAGTGTTGAGAACAATTTGAAAGTAGATACTGATGCTTTCTCTGGACAGACATTACGAAAAGTACTCATTTACTCATTTTCTTTCCCTCACGCAACATCACCAAAAAGATCCACAAAGCAAATACCAGAGCTCATACGATCAGCATAGTACCACCTTTGTGCTGTGAAGAGACACTCGCTATAGAAAGAGACAGATAAATAGCTGGAGAAGAATTTAAGGGTGTCTCCAGAGTAAAAATATCCAGTGAGATGACATTGTGGTGTTTGCACCCAGTCATGCACAAAATAGCTCAGGGAGCTTTCTGCAGCCTAATCCTGCGCTTCATGTTTAGCCGGCAGTGCGCTCATGCAGCCATGAAGGCCAACCACATCCTGGGATGTATCAA